TTCTTTGACCCCCAAAGGGGTGGTGATTCACAGGTTGAGAACCACTGATCTGATCTATGTAGTAGCATGTGCTGGTTACTTCCTTTTAAGGCTGAATGCTGTCATGTGCACACTCCACATTTTGTTTATTGTTCCATCCATCTATGAACACTTGAATTGCTTCTCCATCTTAGCCTTGAGAATAATTCTGCTATGAACATGTGTATGGATATCTCTTGAGATACTACTTGCATTTTTTTTAAATATATGCCCAGGGCCTGGAGAGATGGGTCAGTAGTTAAGAGCACTGGCTGAGCTTCTAAAGAACCCAGGTTCAATTGCCAACAACTACTTCATGGATCACAGTCATCTGTAACTCCAGTTCTTTATGATCCGACTCCTCTTTTGACCTCTGAGGGCAGCAGGCAGGCATGTGGTACACAGACATACATAAAGGCAGAATACCCATATGCATAAAATAAAATAACAAAAACTAAAATATGTATCAGAAGTGGAATTGCTATGTATGAGAATTCTATTTTTAAAAATATTTTTTATTATTATTAATTTTAATTTTTTGAGACAGAATTTCTTTGTATAGACCAGGCTGTTCTCAAATTCACAGAGATCTGCCTGTCTCTGCCTCCTGAGGGCTGGGATTAAAGGTGTGCACCACCACTGCTAGGCTTTATAATGATGATGATGAAGAAGAACCAGGGATATTTTAAATAAAATATTATTTAAAGACTAGGTGAGCTCAGTTAATGGAACACCTGCCTAGCATGCGTAGGATCCTGGGTTCAGTTCTTTGTATTGCACACACAAATAGGACCAGATGATGGTAAACCTGACGGGCTGAGCAGAGAAGACTAGGCAGAAACTGGCAAACTCAGCTGAAGGCCTGAAGGAAGAAACACGTTACAAGAAATAGGAACAAGGAACAAGAAGTGGATCGATTGCTTCCTTGTTGGGTTAAAACAGAATGGCCTTGCTCATCCGTATATAGAGAGCCTTGCGACTCATTGGTGTAGATTTCAAGGTTTATTGATTGCTTGGCACCTGATTGGAGACTGCATTCTGGTTTGATCAGTCTGTTGAGCCTACTAGGGGACTCAGGCCAATCCAAAGGTTTTCTGTAAATTTCATTTAAATACCTTTTTGGTTTTAGTTTTATGGGTTGATTGTTGAAAACCTCTGCTCCCCTTTTTATAGAAATATTCTTTGGGAGATTCGCAAGAACATTTCATGAATTGATCTGTCCATCTTTTGTCTCGGAGGTTAGAAAGAATTTTTATTATTTGACTTGGCTATTTTAAATTTTTGTGAATTTTCTTGTATTTATGTGTATGTGTGTGTGCCTGGTAGTCTGTGTGTGCATGAGTGTCTGCAGAAGCTGAAAGAGTGTATCCAACCCCTGGAATTGTAGTCACCGGTGGTTGTGAGCTGACTGGCACGGGTGCCGGGACCAAATCTGTATCCTCTACAAGAGCAGCAAGTGTTCCTAACTGCCGAGATGTCTTTCCAGTCGGTTTTCTCCTCCCCTGAGGCGAACCACAGATTTAAATTGACATGTGCTAGATTTAAATTGACATGTGCTTTTATCAATTGCTGCTTTCCCATTTCTTTTTTTTTAAAATATTTTTAATGGTTTATTTAACTTTATTTTATGTGCATTGGTGTGAAGGTGTCAGACCCCCTGCAACTGGATCTTCAGATAGTTGTGAGCTGCCATGTGGTTGCTGGGAATTGAACCCGGGTCCTCTGGAAGAGCAGTCAGTACTCTTAACCACTGAGCCATCTCTCTAGCCCCTGCTTTCCCAATTCTTGATTGATTTCTGTATTGTAGGCTGTCATACCCTGACTTTGTTACTGGGACCCGTCTGTGTGACGTCGCATTGCTTAGGGACCTCCTGGGCTAGAGGCATTTCCTAGTAAGGTGACTACATTGTCAACTCCCCAGCACGACCAGCCTTTCTCCCGCTGGGCAGAGCAATGGTGGGGTCCAGGATAGACACAACACAGCTTTCTTCCCGGAGGGGAGTATACTCCCTGGAGGAAATGCTTCTCAGGAGCTGGGTGTCGGGGTCAGGAGGTTGCATCTTGAGGGATAAGTGATAAGTTTCTGAGAACTGCAAACCAACAGAGTTCTCAGATGCCTTGGAAACGGCCACCTTTCTTTACTTTCTTAGGTTCTCCTGAGACTGACCCAGGATGGTTAGCCAACCCCTTAAATGGGTCCTGTCCCACAGGGACCTTCCTGCTTACTGCTCTTTTTTCCCTCTGGATACTAAGATTCATGTATGTAACTTTAAAAAATAAAATAAAATAGCTGTGTTGGCCAGTTTTCTATCATTGCTAACAACCTTAAATGCAGGTGAGGTTTGTTTTGGCCCATGCTTTCAGAGGTGTTGGTTATCCTGTTTCTTTTAGGGCTTGTGACAACAGTTCGTAGCTGGAAGTGTAGGAAGAGAGGGGACTGGGGTCCCAGTGACTTAAGGGAAATCCTCCAGTGACTATTTCCTTGAACTAATCCCCGTCTCCTAAAGATCTGCCACTTCTAGGGAGCACTGAACTTGGAGCTGGGCCTTGAACACAGGGGCCCTCAGCAGATAGTTAAGACTATCTCCTCTTCTTTGCCTCTCTTCCCAGGGGATCTGCCTGCCCCTGCCTCGTCAGAGCTGGGAGTGTAAATGCATACCATCATATCTGGGTGCTAGACTCAAACTGAGGACTTCATGCTTGTATGGTCCTTTACTGACTGAGCCACCTCCCTTCTCTCTCTTAAATCAGCCAATGAAAGAGAGAGAAAACGTGTTTCCTTAACACAAAACCCACTAATTTCTCCCTGTGGCTTAGAAAGGCCTTTTCCACTCCAGGGTTAGGTCTGAATCCACCCATACTTAATGGGGGGAAGTCCTCACCTCTGACCCACTTGTCTATGTTACATCCCCACGGAGCCAGCTTTAGACACTGGAGTTGGGAAGCAGGTGGGTCGGAACTGAAGTCATACTTGTGCTCATTCCTTCACTTAGCTTGGGCCATCCTTGGCTACACAATGCAGTGAGCATGCTCAGTTCTCCCTCACAGGGTGGAGCCACACAAAAGCCCCACAGTTCTGCTTTGTTGGAGAAATGCAGTAGAACAGGACGGGGACACACACACACACACACACACACACAATATACATATATGAATATAAATTATGTATTATAAAATAGATAATATATATAAGATTTACTATAACCATTTGCAATTATACAAATGGTTTGTTTGTTGAGATTCAGTTGCTCATAGACAATGTACAGCCAATCTCCAGAATTCTTTAACTTGTGAACTGAAACCGCCATTGAACAATACCTCCCCTTGCCACCTCCCAGAAGCCACCATTTTGCTTTTGTCTGTGACAACTGTAGACATTTCCTGCATTTTTGTGTTTTTATGATGACATAATGGCCTCCAGGTTCATCTGTGGTGTATGCCCTCCCATTCCTGTCCCGGATTCCCTGCCCTGTCCTTTTCATGTTGTCCCCCTACTGTAATTATATTGTTATCTCCCAGGATGAGCCTGCTTTGCATTCTGCTTATGTCTAGGTCAGCACAGGGCATAAGGTAGGAACTCGGTCTGTTCAAATGCACGAGTCCCCTCGTTCCCAGTTGTATCTGCAGGTCGTCTTTCTGGATCACTCCGTATAGGTCTCTTTTGTACTAGCATACTGTCCTTCAAACCTCAGAAATGTTTTTTTGTTTGTTTGTTTGTTTGTTTTTGTTTTTGTTTTTGAGACAGGGTTTTTCTTGGAACCTGTCCTGGAACTACCTCTTGTAGACCAGCTTGGCCTTGAACTCACAGAGATTTCACCTGGCTCTGCCTCCCAAGTGCTGGGATTAAAGACATGCGCCACCACTGCCCGGCCAGAAATGTATTCTTACACAATTCTGGAGGCTAGGAGTTCAAAGCTGAGGTCTTAGCAGGATGTTCCTCCCTCTAGAAGTTTAGGAAAGGATCCTTCCTTGTCCTCTCCCTTCAGGGCTCACTCTGTAGCTCAGGCTGACCTAGAACTCATGGCAATCCTAATGCTTCTGTTTCTTAAGTACCGGGACTACAGGCATGAGCCACACCTGGTCCTCCTCTTTCTCTTAGGAGGATGCTTGTCACTAGGTGTGGTGGACACGTTTAAACCCAGCACTTGGATAGTAGAAGCAGGAGGATCAGGATCAGCTACATAGGGAATTTGAGGCCTGCCTGGGGGTATGAGAGACCCTATCTCCCAACTCAAAAAGGAGTCTTGTCATTAGGCTTAGGATCCACTTAAGTAAGCTAGAAAGACTGTATCTGTGCATTTTAGACCGTATTTCCAAATAAAGCCACATTCACATATAGCATGAATAATAAAAATCTAGAGACAGAAATTGGGGTTCAATCTGAAAACCAGAAAAGCAAAGCAGCTAAACTCTTACCTCAACCAAGGCTTGGGCGAATCGCAAACTAAGGTTACTAAGCCTCTCTCTCCTCTCATTTTATATTTCCTCTAGTGCTGGGATTAAAGGCATGTGACTCCCTAGTACTGGGATTAAAGGTGAGGCACCACCACCTGGATCTGTTTCTGCAGTGATCTTATATAGCCCAATGTGGTCTTGAACTCACAAGAGGTCCATCTGCCTGTGTCTCCCACATCCTGGGATTAAAGTGTGTGCCATCACTGCCTGACCTCTAGTGGATTATCTTTGCTCTTCTGATCTTTAGGAAGCTTTATTTATTAAAACACAAATAAAATATCACTATAGTCACAGATCCTGGCAGTGGTCTTTTTGGCAGTCACAATTCAATTCTACCCTCTGAGGACTCTATCCCTCTTAACCATATAGCACACATTTTAATCATCTGTTTTCATAGGTCTGGAGGGAGGGGGATGGGAAGTTGTGAATGAAAGTTTCATTTTCACAGGTTGCAGAGTCTGGGGAACATGGAGGACTCTAGAATGGAAGCTTGGTGTCACTAGTATTGATGATACCTTATTTTTCAGGTTGGTTGGGCCTGAGCTGAAGATGTTTCCCGAACAACAGAAAGAGGTAAGACACTACCTGTTCGTGTGTGGAAGTCTGGGCTGAAAACCTGCAAATAAATAACCCATGAATTTTGGCTTATCACAGATTGGTCCAAGTAGTAACTAGGAGCTGGTGATATCTTGGAAGGGGCTGAAGGAAGACAGAATCTCCCTGTCCCCACTGTAGACAGATCCACAACATTCCCTTTCTAGTCTGTGACGGAGCTATAGTGCACTCTGTCCGCCACTTGTCTGCCTAAACGCTGGCTCCCAGGCCCAGAGTTCTCCCGGGTTCTGACCCCATCCTCCATCTGAGCACGTCTTTCTTGGTTTTCTGCCCTGCTATCCTTGGTACTGCCAGCTTTGAGTAGGGACCCAGGAACATGTCTGCCATTAGTTTCAGTCTGACCTGTTTGGTGTCTTCCAGAGCTCGGTGGTTGTTTTGCTTTTGTTTGTTTGTTTCCCACACAACTCAAGCAAGATTATCTTTTCTTGACTGAGTCCTGGACTTTTTTTAAAAAAATATTTATTTATTTATTATGTATACAATATTCTGTCTGCATGCATGCCTTCAGGTCAGAAGAGGGCACCAGACCTCATTACAGATGGTTGTGAGCCACCATGTGGTTGCCGGGAATTGAACTCAGGACCTTTGGAAGAGCAGGCAATGCCCTTAACTGCTGAGCCATCTCTCCAGTGCATGAGTCCTGGACTTAAGGCCTCCAAAGTCCAGTTTCCTGGGATAGTGTAATTCACTACCCAGAAGGATTGGTTCTATCTAGGAAAGTACTCACCAGTGTCTCAGGATGCTCAAACCTTTTATATAAAATGGTGCAGTATTTGCATACAACCTGCCCAATCCTTCCAAGTATTTATGTACTTTATTTATTTATCCAATCTTTTAAGGCAGGGTACCAGGCTGGCTTTGAATTCACTATACAGCCAAGACTGGGCTTGACTCTGATCCTTCTGCTTCTGCCTCCCCAGGGGTAGGGTTACAGGTGTGTGTCACCATGTCCAGTCATCTCTAGAAGACTTATAATGCCAAATGCAATGTAAATGCTGTGATAATAGTTATTTTATATCACTGAGGGGAGGATGACCGGGAAAAAAGCCTGTGTATATCTAGTACAAATGTACTGTGTAGCCCAGGATAGCCCAGCCTTCTTCCAATTGTGTGTGCGCTGGTACATGTGTGTGGGTCCATGTACATGTGTGTGGAGGCCAGCCTTGGGTGTTATCCCTCAGATGACTGTCTGACTTGTGCGTTGAGACTCGTTTTTTCTCTGGGGCCTATCAATTAGGTTAAAGTGGCTGGCCATCGAGCCCCAGCAATTCTCCTCTACCTCCCCAGAACTGGGATTACAAATGTAAGCTACTGTGACCTTTTTTCAAATGCTTATTTATTTTATTATGTATACAATATTTTGTCTGTGTGTATGCCTGCAGGCCAGAAGAGGGCACCAGACCCCATTACAGATGGTTGTGAGCCCCCATGTGGATGCTGGGAATTGAACTCAGGACCTTTGGAAGAGCAGGCAATGAGCCTCTGAGCCATCTCTCCAGCCCCCACTGTGACCTGATTTTTAAGTGGATGCTAGGACTCAAACCCGGGTCTTTATGCTTGCCTGGAAAAACTTTCTAGACTGATCTATCTTCCCAGGCTCTGTTTTCAACTACTTTTGGCATGTTTTTGGTTGAATCCTTGGATGCAGAACCCATGGGTATGGGAGGCAGACACTATATGTAGTCTCCATTTCTTCTGAAAGCCAGAAGTACTACAACAGCCCATGATGGTCATGTAGTTAGATTGTCCAGGAGCCAAAACCATACTAAGGCAGGATACTACAGGTCTAGCGAGAACTTGCAGCTTCAGAGGGCAAAGTCTTGTCCCCTTTTTGGGCGGGGTGAATTCCTTACTACTACTGCCTTAGTCTGGTATCACTGTCTGAGCAGCTGTGTCCACCAAGAGCACTGTTCCAAAGTCACAGTTAAAATTTTTCTTTCAGCCGGGCAGTGGTGGTGCACACCTTTAATCCCAGCACTCGGGAGGCAGAGGCAGGTGGATCTCTGTGAGTTTGAGGCCAGCCTGGTCTACAAGAGCTAGTTCCAGGTTTAAAAGCTACAGAGAAACCCTGTGTTGAAAAACTAAAAAAAAAAAAAAAAAAAAATTCTTTCATTGTGTGTGTGTGTTCACCTATAAAAGCAACAAAAAAACCTAATTTTGAACTTTATGTAGTCCAGGATGATCTTGACTTTGATATATATAGCTAATGTGTCCACCTCCTGAGTGTTGAGATTACAAGTATAGTTTATGCATTGCTAGGGATCAGACCAGGGTTTTATATATGGTTGACAAATACTCTCTCAACTGAGCTATGCCCTAGTTGTAAGAAGCTTGTGGTTGTTGGTTGATTCCGTTATTCTTATTTATCTAGCTTTCTTTTTATCTATCTATCTATCTATCTATCTATCTATCTATCTATCTGAGACAGGGTCTCACTATAGCTCTGGCTGTCATAGAATTCGCTATGTAAAGCAGACTGGCCTTGGACTCACAAAGATTCCGCTCTGCCTTCTAAGTACTGGGACTGAAGGTGTGTGCCACCACACTTGGCTTCATTCATTTGTTCTGTGTGTGTGTGTGTGTTTCTGAGTGTGTGTGCAGTTATGCATGTACATGTGGATGTGGAGGCCAGGAGTCAGCCTCAGGTGTTGTTTGTTCCTCATGTACTTTCTACCTAGTTTTATGGGACAAGGTCTCTCACTCGGCCTGGAACGTGCCAGTTATGATAGACTGTCTGGCTGGCGAACCATGGAATTCTCTGTCTCTTCCTCCAGTGCTGGGATTACAGGTTTGTGCCACCATGTCCTTCTGCCACCAATCCAGGGAACAAACACATGTCTTTCCTATGTTTGCACGACGGACACATTGCCAATTGAGCTGTTACTCCTCACCCCAATTTGTTCAACTTTGTTCCTTCTATGCAGTCCAGACCCAAACTTCGGGAATGGTGACACACACATTTAGGGTGAGACCTCCTACCTCAGTTTACCTAGTCAGGATAATCCCTCATAGACCTGCCTGGAGGTCTGTCAGGGTAATTCCAGGTCCTGCCAAGCTAATAATCAATATTAGCTATTGAACCAACTGTATAAAGATAGCATATCAATGATCTTGAAGATGCCCTTTCTGATAAATGACTGTATAATAATATAATATCATTAATGAATTTAAAAATGGCAATTCCTTCAATGGAAAAGGGAAATAACATTCCGCATATAGATGGAGAGACGGTGTTCCAAAATCTAGTGTTTTGTCAGTAAGAAATAATTATAGAGAAGTGAGATCCAGGGTGTACTAGAGTATAAATCAGCTGTGTGTCCATTCTCCACAGGGCCCTGAGTGCTGAGCCGGCACCGCACAGCCAGACTCCCTGCACCTGGAGTCTAGGTACCTGCAGCCCCGAAGTCTTTCTCCAGTCCCACTTCTCCCCAGCTCCAGGGCTCGTCTTGCTCCCCTTTACCAGGTTTACTTTGGAGCCCTGACAGCTCGGCACAGTCTTGTCCCCGGGGCTATACCTAGTACCACCCTCCTGCTTTGCTGGCCTTCATACATTGTTGAAGGGGGCTGATGTTTTCTCTTCCTTCAGGCCTCAGTTGGGGGGCAGAAAGAGACTTCTGACAGCTTCATTTTCAAAAGGTGTTTTCATATCCTTGATTGCCCCAAGAGCACTCTACCCTCACAAGGCCAGCTTGAGGCTCCGAGTCTGTAGAGTGTAACTATTGGTTGTCGTTCAGTCAAGATCCCCCAATCACGTATGTAAGGGTCAGGTGTAGTATCACGGATTGTTCTAGAAGCTCGACCAGTGTTTGTATAAGCACTTTCCAGGTGGTGCCCATAGATAGCAGCCATTACTAATTAATCATGAGATTGGAATGGGGATTAGGACCTATTTGCCATCTTTGTTCAGGATGCAGATGGGCAGGAGTGGCATGCCAGCTCTACAGAACTGGTGGTGCCAGCCTCGAGGTTTGGTTATTATTATTATTTTTTTTAAAGATTTGGGAAATGTAGTCTCTCTTGTCGAAACAGCTTTATTACCACAGTAAATCTAGCAAGAGGAGAGAAGGGAGTGGGAGTCCCCCTTGTCAGTTAAATATGTTCCATTTGCACATTGGTTTGAATTCCCAGGAGAGCAGTACCTCAGCTGATGGATTGTCCCTATAAAAAGGCCCTGGCATTGGGCCATTATAAAATTAAAATGAATTCAGACTCATTCATGCATGCAACTTTAATTTACAATTAAAATATTATGGTTACATATTTTAATAAGAATAATTAGACGGACCCAACTGAATCAACCCTTGTGTTTAATGAGACAGAACCCAGAATTCAAATGGAAAGGCAGGTGAGTGTGACAGGGGACACATTTCAGACAGCGTCTTCTGTGGAGTCAGGGGTTTTTGTCCTTTTTTATGTTCTAATGCCCAGGAAGAGCTGTTTGATTTCTCTGCTGCACTGAGGACCTTTGTCCCCTGCCTCAGGGAGCTTCTTTCCTGAAGGGGTAAAGGAGCTGCTCCCCTTTGTGGGACACTGTTTCCTGGAGACTCAGATCCTGTTCTTGACCATTGGATGCTGTTTCCCCCATGAGGGTGCTGGGCTTCTTCCTCAGCTGCTGGTGTAACTGGAACACCCCTCTTAGGGGGTAAGGCTTGTCTTCCTGCCTGTGTATTTGTCTACACCTGTGTATCTCCCTACTTCCTGAAGCATGATAACTGTAGGCTCCCTTTAGAGCCATGGTTCTCAACCTGTGGGTCAAGACCCCATTGGGGTCAAATATCAGATATCTGGGGACTGGAGAGATGGCTCAGTGGTTAAGAGCACTGACTGTTCTTCCAGAGGTCCTGAGTTCAATTCCAGCAACCACATGGTGGCTCACAACCATCTGTAATGAGATCTGGCACGTGCAGGAATACATGGAGGCAGAATGGTATATACATAATATATATATATATTTACAT